ACAGAGGCACAAAGTCCAAAGCTGTTCATGCCCTCCATGTGAGCCACCCACAGCAAGTCACTTCAGATCACACAGTATGGCAGATAAGGGTTGCTGCTGAATTTGGTTGAATTTGAATTGTAGTTATATTGTCACCTAAGCTGAAATAAAGAACATTGCAGAGGAGGAAATCCTCTGGATTAGCATCTAGAATAGTTATTAAGTGGATTTGAGGTCTTCTGGGGAGACTGAATGGATTCAGACATTCTACCACCAATATCCCTTAGATTCCCAATTGTTAATGTCAGCTGAAAGGATCCAGTGTTTGGACTCCACAGCAGAGTAGAAGCAGGCTTAGTTTTCCTCTTATGTGTATTGCAGAGAAAGCAACTAAAAATCTGTCAACATCTCTGAACAGTAAAATTTTCAGGGAACTCTGGATGGGCTGCTTAGAAATTGTAGCACAGCCTATAGCACAAACAACTGAGTCCTTAAAATTAGAATAGAAATAAAACATTAAAACCTGAAGTCTTCTCCATTTTATCCTAAAAAATACCAAAAAAGCAGAACTGCAAAAATTTACATTGGGTGAGAAGCTATTCTTCTAAAAAGAGACAGGGGAATACAAAGAATAAAAATTTGAAGAATGAGAAGGAGAGACATAAATATCAAATCATTTGAATTAAAGGTGAATTTATAGGGTAATTAATAAGGAATGTGGTGGCATAGTGGTGATGTAAAAAGATGAATCGTAAACATAAAGTGAATCTTAAACATAAATTTAGAATAAACAAAGACCTCAATGATTTACAGTGAAAAGTAAGAGAATAAGAAGAAATGCACCGTTGCTTATCTATGATTTTGTGATGTAATGGGAGGACTTCAACAGATGATAATTCTGATGTGAAATATTTTAGTGATGGCTCTGAAGCTCTATTTGCTAAGATAAAAAGTTTTCAAATCACTAGGCTAGTGTAGACTAGTCATATAACTTCACAGATAGTTTTAACTAATACAGAATTGCTATGCATGTAATTTTTTTTCTCCAGAAAAAAATTTAAAATATATCTTTTAAGGCATAAACTATCTAAATTCAGCTAAAAGTGTGAGACTAAAATTCAGAAATTTATACAAATTCACTCCCTCATTGCTTATTTATTTGTAAAAACTGTTTTTTTTTTCCTTCTGCTTTCAAATCCTTCATTTACCCTGCTGTTATCCTGTTCTTTGTTGTCTACTATCTGCTGCAATTCCTCTCCCTCTTAAAATTCACTATATTCATGCAGCTTATGAGATCTCTTTTTTTCTTGGCATTTCCCAGTTCAAGCCTTGTTACTCAAATACAAAAGGATATTACAGAGTTAATAATGACTATTACTGTTTATGTCAAATGATTTTGAGACTGATGCAAGGCTTCTAATTTTTAATGGACTGTTGGTAATTTCTCAATCAAGGATATGCTCTCACAGAATTAATAAAAAAGCCACCCACTATCATTGTGTAAACAGTTTTTTATCACTACTTTTTGGCAAAGCTTTTCTTACAAAACTGTGCTTTCTATGATCGCTTGTCCTTATTTAAGTGAAACGAAGCAGTTTCTTTTTCTGATTTAGATTCCAGTCTTTCTAATAGCTTTTTTTTTGTGGCATCAGAAATAGAGCCTGTTTTTCCATAATGATTTTAAATTATTTTCTGATTTTAAGACTTTTTAAATGTTTTAGTAGAATTTTTTCCAAAAATTAATATCAAGAAAAACTCCAAAGCTTCTTAAATTTAATTTCTATACATAAGACCAGTAATTTGACACAAATACAGCACTGTTTGGCAAAATTTTGGTAGAAATTAACAAAAACTAGAAGAGACCTCTATTTCATTAATAGTGACAAAAACGGTGAAACCAATACAAATTATATCAGTGAGTCATATTAGATTTCAGAAGATCAGTGGTAAATTAGGCTATGAGAGGTGGGAAAATTTTGCTAAGGAAAAAATTCTCTCCAAGAAAGAGAAGCAGGGATCAATATAAATTTTGTGCAGCATACTTCATTCAGGCACCTGGGAGGCTTCGGTATGCACAGTTGGACATTGTTCCAACTTTCTCAAGATTCTTTAGCCCTCAGCTTTAGGACTAGCACTCTGTGATCAATGTCTGATGCTGTATAGTGAGATAAAATTTTTTAATCAAAATTTTATTAATTTATAAGTCATCTTATTATGCAATTGCTACTAGCTCTCTGAGATTAATTTATTAATAAGTATTATTTGGCTCTAAATTCACGAATGCTATATTGTAGAGCTAGGTTCTTCCAGCCAGCTATCTCAACTCTGCCTTCCCTGATAGACAGAAAATAAACTATATCTTTTGAAACATTACACTTATTTCTCCTCAAAAACTCCAACCAAATGTCCATTCACTAAGAACTTTGGACAACTCTTTCAGTGTTTAATCCACATCCGCCATTTAACTGCCTTAAGCACAACAAAAAAAATATCTTTTACAGTTCTAGGTTAATTTTAATTTACTCTTGAAATCCCTGACAAAATCTGTGTCCAAATGTCCTGATAACAATGGGGGCATGTGTGTGTGGAGGGTGACAGTACCTGTGATGGGACACCCAGAGTGAGAGGGAACAGGACACCCAGAATGACAGAAACACCCTAAACTGATTATGCTAAAGAGCAGGATGAAAAGAAGCCAAAGAGAGAGTACTCAGTGAGTTCTGGTGACTTTAAGAAGGAATGAAGGCACCATGAACCAGTGCCACAGGAACATCAAAGCCTGGAAGGGGGTGTTGGCAGAGGCTTTGCAGTGGGAGGAGGAGCAATGATGGTTAGCATAGCCAAGCGTTGTCCCACAGCATCCCCAGTCCTGCCTGTGGCCTGTGAGGCAGAGACAGCCTTCACCCAACCAAAGACTCACAGCACAGGCGTGGTGAAGTGGGGATGGTGTGGGGGAACCCCTCCTTGGGCTGTATATGGGGCACCTGCCCACAGTGCTGCCTCACAGTGCTGGCAGCAGCAGCGAGGGCTCCGGCACAGCTGGAGCAGGGACACCTCCATGTGAGGCTGTGCAGCTTGTGCTGCATAACTGACACTGAGTCAGTTCATAGAGGTCTGCTTATTTATGTGTGATTAGCAAATCAACAAACTGCTCCCCTCTTGATTTATGATCTGTAGGAGGTGAACCGAGCGCTTCCCAAGCAGCGGTCCCATACGCCTGACTTTACATCATCGTTTCCTGCTCTGAAATCAATGCACCCCACTCCACAGCTCACATGGTATGGTCCCAGAGGTAATACTTTTTGTTTAGCTTTATTGAACACATCTGGTTGCATTCTAATAATTTCAGAATATGATCTAGAATGCTTGATATCAGTTCCTTGTTCTCAGTACTTAATGCCATGAAGTTTTTTTCTTAATTTTTGTTTTTACCAGAAGGAATTTATAAGCTAAAAATACTTGCTAACACTGGTCCAAAAACTTTTGTATAATTAATCCTTTCTCTTTTATATATTAGCTTTTAAAATTGTATGTTGAGCTCTGTCAACAAGATGGTTTTCAAGTAATTTAATTTTTATCCTGCTGTTAGTGTATAATGCAATATTGAAAATGTCATACAGTAATAAGTCAAGTACTGACTGAAAATCATTGGAATGTACTGTCTCCCAAATATACTATGTCAATTCTTTTGAAAACCAGATTTTTACTGCTGTCGAAAAAGGCCACAGATTTATTTCTGACAAGACCTTTGTTTTTGGACAAAGTTGGCTTATTTAAATTCCAGGATTTATCTTTTTTTTTGCGTGTATCCATGAATCCATCTAAATTTCTTTATTTTAGTCCTTGAACAAGTTAAGCTAACTGATTTGCAATTCACAGGATTATTAATTTTATTCTGTTTAAATCTTGGAACTACATCTGTAGTTATCCAATCACTTGGAATTTCTTCAGTTTCCCATACAGGGTTCTGAAAGCTCCCAGCTGGTTTTTCTGGAGCTCTTGGGTGTTAGTTATCTGGGCCTGTTGATTTGCAAATGTAAAATTTCAACAGATGTTCCTTTACATCTTTCCTTGCACATGGCAAACTTCTTGTTACAGCAGCAACAGCATCTGGTATACATATAACCTCATGCCTCTTTCCACATACAGTGTCAAATATCTGTTAGATATTTTTGCACTGAGTGTTGGGTTTTTTGGGGTTTTCTTTTTTGGGTTTTTTTTGGGGTTTTTTGGTTTTTTTGCCAGATATCTAGATGGACATGCACCTGTACTCCAGTCCTCTCAATATTAACTTTCATTCTTTTTCAACAGGCTTTCAAAATCTCCTTTTAACTACACTGGCCTCCTACCCAGCATAACGTTTTTTTCTGTCCTTTGAATTGTGGTATATGGGTTACTTCATGTGACTTGCATGAACCATTCCTGCTTTTCTTTAGAAAACACTCTTCATTAAACATGTGCTTTATCAGTTATCAACTGTTGCTTCACAATGGTTAAAAGTGACCACTTCAGGGTTCAGGTATGCTAATAATGGGTTACTGCTGTGTTCTGTTCTCGTAACTGGAATCTAACTAAACTAAGAACACTGCCATCTTTTTTTAGGCAAGTCATTTCTGCATTTCATTCAGTAGTAATAATGCCCAGATATCGAGTTATCCCATGCTGTCTGCTCTTGACTACTAGACATGTCCAGCAAAGACCCCTTGACTTGAACTCATTCTTGACAACAATGATTTTCCTGCTATTGTATCTCAGCTGTGGTTAAGGAGCAGTTTTCACTAAGAATGAAAGTTTAAGACTGCAACAGAATGGTACTCTCCTTAGTTTCCTTAACCAGAACTTCTGTCCATAAACTTTCATAGTACAGTTTTTGGATCTTTCTGTGCCTGTAGTGTTTTTATGTGAATTATTTCTTCCTCTTCCTCACCCTGTCCTGATTGTTCTATTTTTCTTAAGGAAAATTACAAGATTAATTGCAATATTCATGCAGTAAAATTCACTTTGCCACTTTGCAGCACTACCTGCTCTGTAGTTCCTCTCACACATGAACATCTTCATGCCACTCAGCCCAGACTCCCAGTGCTGCTGCTACATGGACATTAAAGAATGATGTCTTCATTCCGTGCTTAGGCTATTGTGAGGTCACAGATTTTGTGTACATACTTTAGTGTGTATGTCCTATAAGGACAATGGCATTATTATTGTTCTCTGTTTAGATAGATGTAAAACCTTTATGGCTCATCTTTGCTGTAAAGAAAAGAAATGCCTCATTCATACAGTGTCTGCTTATGGCAAATGATACCACCCTACCCAAGCTATAATTTTTTCTCTCCACTCACAGAAAGCAAGTTTTAATTTGTAGTAGATATTGCCTTTTATTCCTCAGATTCCTGCCCAGTTTCTTATCCAGGAGTTAACACAGGTAATTTTAAATTTGGATGATGACTCTGGTAAGATGCTGAATTTATGATTCAAAAAACTTGCCTCAGATAGCTTCTAAAATGTTGGGCTTCTACAATCTCACTTTGCCTGTGTAAGTAAAAATACACTGAAGCAACAAAACTTTTAAGCACACTACTTGCATACATCTGTTAGTTCATCCCAGAACATTGTCCAATATGAAGGAGGGACCTCTGCATCTCAGCAGGTTCAATGGAGGTGTAGGCAAAAAACTCTGCTTTTTATAACTCCTGACTAATTAAACTCATTGTAAGCATTAATAGTGTTTCTCATTGCATGAAAAATATGAAGAAAGTTATGGTAAAAGTTTGTCTCTTTACAGCTGGGAGTTCACTGTAAATGTGCATGCATGATGATCATGAAGAACACAAACTAAATCTACATTAAGGTATATAATCACACACAATGTAGTTAGTAAGTAATGCAAACTCTTTTTGTTTGTTTTGTCTTTGTTTTTTTTTTTTTTTTTTTTGCTTCCAACTGAAACAAAATTTGATTTGGGGTGTAATGGGAAGTGATTTTTTTTTATTAAATAATTAAAAAAAATGTTATTAATTATAATAATATCCTGAGACTCACACAATGACCTTAGTATGTTGTCTTCATTTTTTCAGAATGGGCAGTTTGACACAATCACAGATATCTCTAGTTACAGATAGTTTTCTTCTGTATTATGGGCACCAGAAAATTATTAATGATTATTGAAAAGAAAACATATTATTTAATTTCTTCATGAAATAACTGGATTTTTCCAATGGTTTTCCATACTGAACTACAAATTTGATTCTCAAATGAACTGAAAATTAACTTCTTAAAAATGAATACGCAAAGTACTACTTAGAGAATGAATACAAGATGCTACTTTAACACCTGAATATTAATTTAAATGGATCAGAATATAACATTCAAAATAAATGACTGTCTAGAAACAATCCATGAGACATCCCCACTGTGAGGTATTTACTGTGCTTTGAATATCTTTCCAGTTATTGACACTGAAGGTGATACTCATTTATCACATTTAACACAAACTAGATCTTTTGGCAGAATAGTTGCCATAATCTAAAGACACAATAGGAGAGAGAGAAGATATATAGTGGACAAAGGGAAGAGAGAATCCTTTGACCTTTAGACAAGAAGACATATTATTTATGTATGCTGACAAAGGCAGCTCTGCCACTCAGGACTGGAAAGGCTACAGAGCTAAAGGAATGAATGATAAACACTGGAGCTAATCTTGGACCTGCCAGACCTCTGTGCCTGGCAGCAAATCTGGGGATAGAGAAACTCTGCCCATGGTAAAGGTGATTAGTGCTGGCACAGCTTGAGCACCTGAACACATGTAAGTCCATGGGACCAGCTGGAGTGCAGCATGGTGAACTGGCCAAGGTACTTGCAAAGCTGGACTCCATTGCCACAGAACAACAGCAAGGAAAGCATTGCACCCACCTTCCAACAGGGGTGAATTGTCCTCAAAGAAGGAGAAATCAGGGACCGTAGACACAGTCAGCTTAACCCTGCAAAAAGTTGTGGAGAAAGTCCTCCAGGAAGCTATGTCCAGGCATTGAAATCCCAACAGAACAGATGGTTTAATCATGAGGAACTTTGTTTTCAGATCCATATATAAATTTAAAAATATCCTTCTTTATTCCATGCTGTGTTTATGTTTTCATGATCTGGCTTGTGGCAAACAGATAGGCATGTTATGTTGGAGTATGTCTATTTGTCTACAGGGTAAACCTCACAGAAATGTTCTGGAGGATTCAACTTGCTTCTCATCTTCTCTCCACATATTCCCAACAGCAGACCCCAATCTTGTTATGCTGGCTGAGTTAAACTATTCCATATTAATCATTGTCATCTTGATCTTTTCTGTTACTGATAATGAAACACTGAAGTTGAAGGGTCAGTTTATAAGAACTTGTTTACTTAGATACTGTATTTATTGTTGGGAAAATTACTCTATTGGCCTGAGGACAGGATAGATACCTCATGTCTGGGGAAATGCCAACTGTACATTAGATGATTTTTGTCTTGGAAAGATTAAATGCACACTATTCCATTCCAACTTCATTTGTTTCATTTCTGTCATCAGCTTTGGTAGTTGGGTCCCTTTATAAAATGGGTCTACTCTTTAAACATTTGCATTTGGTAAAATTTTATTATGATTAATAATTGGAATGGCTTCAGATTGCTCATTTAACTGCCATTGTTGCTTTTATTTATTGGCTTAATTATTTTTATTTACTTTTTTTGTTTATTTGCTGTTGCAGAAGGCTTCTATTTCATCGATTATATAGTTTGGCTTTGGCACGCACAAAGTTATAAACTAGAAAAAATAGCATTTCACTCTAAAAGTTATAACATATAACTTTAATATATATATATATATATATATATATCTTTATACAGCATATAAAAGATCAGTGAATTTTGTATTACCAATAAAGTATAGCCAGTAAAGAGCTTTTGAAAAAATGATGGTTTTGTTAATGTATGAATTTAAAGGTTGTTTTAACTTCATCTATACCAGGTCACATTTTTCTGTGGATTGCCTTCTTGCACTCTCTTGGCTACACATAAAATTTGGCTTTGTGTAGTCATTTTCTTTGATGAAAAGTCATTTCTTATTTCCTGAGGAGTCACTTCTTATTTCCTGAGACACTGGTATTGGAGATCATCTTAGATATTTGAACTGACAAATCCTTGGCTTAACACTTGGTTCAGCAAAGAACCTAAACTATGATTAGCTGTAAGCAGCATTGTTTTTCATAGGATGGGTCATGTCCTTTTAAGTAGGATGTACTTCTGCACTTCTCTCAAGTCTGTAACCAAGAAGGAAGGCTTGTGCTTAGCTCAGGAGTGAATCTGTGCTTTTCCCCTCCATTAGGTGCTCTGAGATGTCCACGTGCCAGGAATGCTCAGGCATTTGGAAGGAACCTTGGAGAAGAAAGAATACAGGGAATGCTGATTTGCATTTGAATGCTGATTGCTATTGAAGCATATGAATGCTTCAATAGCAATTTGTTAAGCACTTTTTGTAAAGTCAGTTGATGTTTTTGGTTTGGTAAATTTGGTGCAGATTTATAGCAGTGCACAGAAACCACCTGTAGAAACTTCAGGAAGTGTGTGAGACCACTACGCTTGATTTACTAGCAAATGGTGCTGTTATGGCTACTTCACAACCCCTTTGCAGCCATTATCATCTCCTAAACAACTTCTGTTACCACCCTGTACTGGCCACCAGCACTTCTGCTAGAAGGCAGACTGCAATTTATAAGCATGCAAAGTTTATAATGCAAAATTCAGCTGAACTTTGTATCCCTTGTGGACCAAATCCTTCTTGAGAAAAGATTACCACCATTACATCAGCATGGAAGCAGTATAAGTATACATGTCTGAAACTGCAAACTACAGCTCAGAAGTTATTTTTAGTCTTGAAAGGGACTGTTGTACCTATTCTGAGAATCAATATCTGTATAATCCTGTCAAATTCCTTGGAATTAAATCCCCAACATACACTTTTCACCTGAAGATCTCTTGCCTTGCCTCAACTTTGCCTTGCCTTGTCTTGTCTTGTCTTCCTTTATTTGTTAGCCAATTCCCCTTCTAATGAAGACACATCTGGATTTATCAAAGAAAAGGAGCTAATGGTCTTTTGCACACCATCATTTAGCTCAGTCCTCTGCATGTTTTGTCCTTTTCCTTGTCCCCTCTCTCTTGTCTATTCAGCAGTTAAAGCCTCTTGGAGAAGGAGCTGCATTTGTACTGAACAAAGCTATTTTTCAGTGAGCTCCTGTGGCTTACTGTAAGACCTATAATACCAAATAGTTTAATGTGGCAACAGTTCAGTAAGGACAAGGAAAAAAAATGGCATTTAGGTCACATTCCTAGTTTCTGAGAAAATACAGAGGGGCAGAAGAAGGAAAGGAAATAGACTTATGTCTGGAAAAAGCTAACATACATAGCTTAGTCCCCTAGCACGAAAAAAGAACCGTGTCACAGACATAGCTGAGGTTAAGAATAGACATGTTACATCATCTTTTGCACAATGCAGTAGTGGGAAAAGGGAGGAAATGAGGACTTACTTGAGGAATAAATAAATTACAGCCAGATTTTATAGAAAAAGGCTAGACTGGGCGCTCCTTAGGGAATATTGGATTGTGCTCTGTGTTAGAAACAGGTAAGGAAAGAATGGAAAAAGCTGCTATAACACAGAGAAAAGAATAGTTGGGATTACTGATGACAGAAGAAATGGTCAGAATCTGAGAACAATCAGGGTTTTTTTTTTTGCATTTCCTTTTGTTAAGAGATCCTGTAATTGCTTCTGACATGTTAGTGATTGTGACAAGCTGTGTGGCAGCATTTAAAATGTCAGGGTCTTCCTAAGCCCAGCAGGGGAAATGTGTACTATAAAACAGTTTATTTCTCTCATTAGACTTTGTCCAAGACTAGAGTCAAGCTTATAAAGTTGAAAGTGCTCTTGAAAGTGAATTCTACTTTCAGGATTGTACCTCTGGAGCCTTGTCTATAGCATGTGGAGAAATAAGGGAGAGAAATTAGTCCTGTGAGAACATAGAATCTCTATAGGATGGGAGCTAGTCATGGCAGTGAAGACATCCCACCTCTGGAGTAGAGTGGTGCT